TAGTAATATTTACTTTAGGATTACGCTTATAGTAGTATAGTTAGTTAGTATAATAACCTTTAGTAGTAAGGTAGAGATAATATATAACTAGAGCTTTTAATAAGCTTAAAAAAGATAGGTAACTTTAAGTTTAGTAGGCTAGTATCTAAGCTCTCTACTAGTTAAGCGTTTACTAAGGTAAAGGATTAGCTAGATACTCGTTTAAGGTAGGGTTCTTCCTAGGTTCTAGTCTTCCCTTTAGTACTAAGTAGAAGGCTATAACTATAAAGCCTAGCTCGCGGCTAGCGTCGATTTATAAGAATAATAGCTATTATAGGTCGAAATAGTATAGCTACGTTAGTTTTATAAAAGCGTTTATAATATCTTAGAAGGCCTATTCCTCTACTAAGGATAGTTTATATATTACCTTAAAAGTATATTTATTCCTTACCGATCCCTTAAGTAGCGCTTAACTATCTCGCGCTTCTTTAAGTATTACTATTTTCTAAACCTAGGGCGCCTTTACCTTTTAAGAGAAGTAAGCTACTAAGTACTATAGCTAGTTAACTAAGCTAAGCTACTTTTCTAGTACCTATAGGGTATTTAGAAACTCTATATCTTATAATACCTATACTTATTCTTTAGTACTTATTAAGCTAATACTATTAACTTAAAATCTTAATAGTTTTATAGATAGGTAGCCTAAGAATAGTTTCGATTTAGCTAAGGCTAGGTTATAGTTTATAAAGAGTTAAAAGATAGCTTAGAGGTAATAAATATAGTCGTCTTTTATATCTAAGTATATTATAATATCGTTAATATACTTAATAGAATATTCTATATATTCCTAAAGGATTTAGTCTATAAATTATTAGATATATATAAGTAAGTTCTTATATCTTATTAAGGCTACTATTAGTCGCTCTAAGCCTTTATAGCTAATTACTATAAACCTTTCTTAATACTCCTTATAGATAAGGAACTAATAAAAGAAAGACTAAGCGTCTATAGTAAAAATAAAGTATTTCTTATATAGCTTTTAAATTATATCTCCTTAAAGCAATATTAAGTAAGCGTCTAAGATAGCTATACTATTAAGAGTATATAGGTCTATTATTATTTAACCCTTTTTATTACTATATATAGTTCTCTAAACTATAAATGTAAGGTAAGTAAACGGGGTTACCTTTATAGCTTATTTTATATACCCCTTTTAGTATAGGTCCTTATAGGTTTAGTCGATTAGCGCTTTATCCTTCTAGCTAAGTAGGTAAGCCCTAAAAGCTAGTTTTTATAGGTATTAATTTTCTACTAGTAGAATATATATATAGTAGTTTAGGTAGACCTTAATAGTACCTTAGTCTTTCTATATAATTAGGAAGGAGGCGACTATACGTTAGATCTTTTCTATAAATATAAGGTCCTAATTATAGATTTTAACGTCCTTTAAAGTAGTTATTTCTAGGAGGCTATAATCTTATAAAATCCTAATCTTATAGTTTAAAGTCTATCTATATATTTATAATAGGAGTTCCCTTTTAGCGGACTTAGGGCTCCCTTCTTCTAAGGTTTCTTTTAATAGGTTAGTATCTTAGTATAGTTCGCTATATTTTATAGTCTTCTATATAGCTAGCTCTTTAATTAAAGTTACCTTAGCTAGGGTTTCCTTAAGTAGGTCGATTTATAAAAACTATATTTCGTTACTAAGGTTTATTAGTATACCTAAGTACTATCCTTTCTTAAATTAAACGTAGCGAGCGGTAGTATTAACCGCTATAACTAAAGTTATACCTTAGATTAAGTTATAAGCTAATAATAGGTTTCTTAGAAAAAGCACTAGGTTACGATCCCTTAGTATATCCTTAATCTATACTAATAGGCGTTCTATCCTATATATAAGGACGTCGACGTTAGCTTAGTATATAACCTAATAACGGATTATATAGCCCTATTAGGTCGAGCGAGCTATAACTATTAAGTTACTATATAAGCTAATAGATATTATTCCCTTAAAGTTTAAGATATTAACTTTATTTAGTACTAAGAAATCTTATCTAAGTAATAATCTTATAGATAGGGTCTAGACTACCTAGGCGCCGATAGTAAATTACCTAACCTTAAATCCTATTTCCTATTTCCCTAGGATATTAATTATTAAGGTCGCTTAACCCTTAGTTTAGCTTTTTCCTATACTAAATAATAAGACCTACTAGGTTATATTAAGGGTTATATTATTAAAGTAGTTAAGCTAGTCTTCCTTAATTATAGAGTAGGCTATATTAAAGTTTATATATACGTTTAATAGTTAGTTTAGGCCTTTAGTTTTAAAGATAGATATCTAAGTATATATAAACTAAGACGGCTTTATTATATTTAATATTTCAGTCTATAGCGCTGCTCTTATAGTTAGCTAGTTTCTTAGTATTCTAAGCGAACTACTTAGTCCTATAGGTTCCGCTTCTATTATATTAGGAATAAATAAGATCTTATCTTTTATTTCTTTAATATCTTCTCCTATATTAGCGGTAGTATCTTTATCTTCTAGCCCTTCGTCCTAAGTAAATAGGATATAGTTTTATATTTCCTAGGAAAGATATATCCCGCCCTAGTTATCGGTTAGTACCGCTTAAAGCTAATAGGTAAGGTTAATAACGATTAGGTTTTCCTAAGAGCCCTCTTTTAGTTTTAAATCCTAAGGCTATAGTCCGACTTAAGGGCTAGTTAATTAATTAGGTACTAGGCCTACGTCTACTTAGTATAGATTATTCTATCTTAATATAGTCGTTATATTTCCTTTTAATTAAAATTATCCTTATTCCTAGGGTTTCTAACTAGTTAGTTTAGCTATAAATAGGGCAAAGTTTACTATAGTCTTATTCTTAGTTTTATATAATCTACTTTATACGCGTCCTTTTACTATATTACTTATCTTTCCCTATAACTTAACCGTTAGCTTAGTTTCTAACTATAAGATAAGTTACTTATAGTTATTAATCTAAGTATTAAATAATTCTAAACTAATAGGTCGGCGGAATAATTCTTATAGTAATACGTTTAGTTATTAATAAACTAATATAATAAGGTGCTCTTTTAAGTATAGCGCTACTTTTACTTTTTAGTAGAGCTTTAATATCTATTTATAAAAGTTAGCTCCGTTTATAATATCTAAGGTAGTAAATCGTTCTATTTATAAAGATCTTAACGCTACTTTTAGCTAGATAGTAAAGTATTTTTATAGTTTAGTATACTAGGCGGTATATCCTTAGTCTAGGGTATAAAGTATAGCTTTATCGGATTCGCTAAGATCGCTAGAATACTATTCGATAGCGGTCTATAAAGTAAGCTAGGGATTAATATCGCTGGTTTATTAGCGTATTTTAGTCCGCGAATAGCTACCTATTTTAGGGAATCGATAAATCGATTAATGCTTTTATATATAATTATTTTCTTAGTTTCTTTAAGAACGTTAAACGTTATATTAAAGGGGCTAGCGGGGTTAAACTTCCTTATATCTTTTAGTCTAATATATACTAAGGGTGCTTAAAGAGGGTTTATAGTAATATTATCCTTAGTTTCTCTTACTATAGCTTTTACTAGTAGTCTTATAAAAGCTTCTTTTATAATTAGGCTTACTAGCTAGTTTACTAGGGTTATTATCGTAAACGTACCGCTAAGGGTAGTATTATTTAAAGGTTCTTTTTTATTTTAATCGTTATAGTTTAGCGAACTTTTAAGGCTTTATCCTTTTAATAAAGGTAGTTAAAGCGGGGTAAGGGAAGCTATACTATACCGATTTCTATATAGCTTTATTATTTATAGCTAATATTACCTTATTACTAAAACGTATTCTAAGTTATTAATTCGTTCTTATAGGCCTTAATAGTTAGCTAAGTAAGCTAGTAAGTCGTATTATAAAAGTTCCGCTCTTAATTCCTTTAAGCGTTATTCCTACTACTAAGGTAGGCGATCTAGCTATCTTCTATTTCTATAAGAACTTAATAAGAAATATCCTAGAAATAAGTATCTTTCTATCCGCTAATAAAAGCTCTATATTACTTAAGCTTTAATATATTAAAGTTCTACTTTTATTTAGAGTTCCCTAAGTATTTCTTTTATAAAAAGTAATTAAGAAGCTAGTATTCTTTAGTATATAAGTAAAAGCTTTCTTTTTAAGAAGATATTAAGGTTTATAGGTTAAAGTTAACTTATCCCTTTCCCTATTCTTTATCTTTTATTCTATTAAATATAGACCTTAGGATAATAAATAGTTAAGGGAATAGGAATTACTACTATTTATTATATACTAGTCCCTTAGTATAAGGCTAGTATATTAACCTTACTATCTACTTAGATCTAGTATAAGTCTAATAAGTAATTAAACGGACTAGCTACTATATATAATTAAACGTATTATATAGACTAGCTACTATATACTATTACGCGCGTTAAATATAAACTAGCTACTAGTCTTATAAGTTAAAGTAAAAGTAGTAATAACTATCTATATTCTTTTTTACCCGCTTAAGATTTAATAGGTTCTTTATCTTTTATATATACTATAGCGAGTATAAGACCTTACTTAGGGCTTTAACTAAGTAATATCTTAACCTTATAATTATACGACGGTAGTATAGCGTATTAATAGTATTTCCTAGTATTTTCCCTAGGTAGGTATAGGTATTTCTCTATAGTTTCCCTACTATATTCTTATAGTAACTTCTTAAGGAAATATTAATATAATCCCTAAGGAGCTATTATTACTTAGGAGATTATAGTATATTCCCTATATAATATATCCCTAAGTGTCGGGAGGTCTGTACTGCAGTAACGCAATGGGTTGTATTCAAGATGTCTTGCTAGGAAGGGAGGAAAGGGAATGAGGGGGCACACTACGTGCCCTTTATACACGGATCCCCGAGGTCCATACACGTGACGCTAAGGGTCACGTGTGCGTGTGTGCGCACCTCCCTTACAATCCTACTATAGCTATATGCTACATTCCCACACTGGCAAATCTTCTTTTATCGCTGCAATCGCAGCAGTAGCAGCAGGTGCGGGAGCGTAGCAGCAACCGCAAGGGTGCGAAAAGAGTGACGGTTCGAGCGGCAGCTAGCGGGAGGGCGTTCGACTGATCCTTCTATCCTAATCGTAAGGCTATTCGTATCGACGAGGCGTTCGAGGGCGCGGTTAGGCGATGCCTTTGTCATAGCATCTGCTGGGTTGTCTGCGCCGTTAATCCAGCGGATTTCTGTGATCTCACGCCTTTCGTAGGATTGACGTAGGGCCATGATATCTATCATCAATCGCTTCTCCTTCGTTGTGCCTAGCTTAACGAGGCACTCGTAGAGGGAAAAAGAGTCGGTGCAAACGATTAGGGATAGGGGAAGATTGAGGCGGTCTGTGATCTTCCGTATCGTCGTTGCTAGTGATATCCCAATATCGAATCCGTTGACCATGCCGTAGATCTCTGATGCTAGCACGCTTCGGGTGACCCTCTTACACTTCGTTGAGCTCCAATGGAGGACATTGCCCTTGATCCCGAATTGGTCTTTGGTACGTGCGGTCTCGGTCTCATTGACTAGGGCAATGACGAAGCCTAGCTGTGACGATAGGTCCTTATTGTTCGCAAAGGAACCGTCGGTAAAGATGATAAGCTTGGCATTGGCGAGGTCAATAGGGATATACGTTAGGCCTCGCTGCTGGTGGTCTTTCTGCCATTGAAGCCGCTTGTTGAGGGTCGTGCAATCCTCTTCCGTAGGGGTTTGGACCTGGGCAGCAATAGAGATGTCGAATGAGGCCTCTGGTTGACAGATTGAAGCCACATACGCGCCACGGGCACGCTGTTCCACGTACTGTTGGGCTCGATCGTATGCCTTGATGTCGATGGGTTCGATCTTGGCTGCTTGACCCTTTTGTTGAAGCAGTAGAGCGTTGTGGAAAGTGGTGTCTTGGAGGGTTATCTTTGCACCGTTGAAGTCAATGCTAGTACCCGGGGTCATCGTTGTCTTCGGCTTTGCCCGAAATTGTGCCTTTACGAGTTCCGCTTCCTCTAGCGCGGAAAAACGTTGTGTGCCAAGCATAAGGGTATCGTCAGTCTGCATTCCCACAATCCCAAAGTTATCAGGTCCCTTATTCGTAATTAGGAAGCATAGGTCGTAGGTTGATGTGGACATGTCGAGGTTATCGACATGATGCCCGTGATAGGTTCGAAACCAATGGACTCCGGCCTCCGCAATTCCGTATAGGGGCTTAATAACGCGAATGATTGTTCCTTCCGGCATCTTCCTTCTAATTCGGCGGGAAGATGCGTGAGAATGGTGCGGAATAGTTCGGTCTGCGCCTGGGGATACGCTTGTGTGATGTCACGAAGAGAGAGGGTCATGCCGTGAGAAAGGAGGTCTGGGGAGATAGCAGAAATAAGCCGTTGACTGACGCGTTGAATTGTCGGGGATTGCGTCAATAGGGTGGTTTTCTCTTGGTCGTTGTGCCCTTGGACCACGAGCCTTGACTTCTCGTATGGTTTGGTTTCTTTGCCTTTAACCTCGCGGACCATGCGGGAGCGGAAGATATGATGGTTCCCGTGCTTTGCTTCATTGTAGCGTTCGAAGCTAAACACTCGTACCAATAGATCATCGATCTCCGTGCTATCGGATTCCTCAAAGGGGGTGCCTGGCGTTGTGATAATGCCTTCGTCCCGTAGCTTGATGGCTAGTTGGTAGGCATCTTCTTCCTTCTTGACTAGGAACGTCGTCTTTGGCTTGTTCTTCGAACCAGGCGGCTCGCTTGCGCGGCGCCGGGGATTAGGAGCAGGAACAGGGCAGGGCAGGGGCAGAAACAGGAACAGAATCGCTCGCAGGATCAGAAACAGGAATGTCAGAATCATCCGCAGCAGCAGCAGCGGGGGCAGGGATCGTCGTCTCGTCGCGGAAATAAGGCTGCACAAGGGTGGAACGGAAGGTCTGGGGTCCGTTGATAGTATCAATTGTGACATTGGAGCCATCAATTGCACTAATCTTAAAAGGGCCTTGCCAGCCGAGCTTTTCTCTCCACACTCGGACCTCGCTTTGCAGTGGGAGCGATAGTATAACGCCTGTTGATGATGGTCCGTTCTTTGTGTGTAAGGCGCCCTGCACTTGCCGCTCTGCTGAGAGCTGACGAAGCATTTTCATCGCTTTCTGGGCTGCGGCAGCCCTTTTCAGGGTCGTAGCAGAAGGGGGCGAATCTAACGCCATTCGAGGGTAGGCGCCAAAGACTAGGAGCGTAGGGACAATGCCATTTGGCCCTGTTGTGTCGTTGATGGCTTTGATAGCCATTTGAAGGATCGATTCGGGGATGTGAAGGTCCTGATTTCTGCGTGGAGGATCTCAAACGCACGGCGGAGAGGGGCATGATATCTTTCAACCTTTCCAACGGACCAATGTGCTTCCACAGGACTTGCTTGCAGGTTATCCCCATAAGCTTTGCCTCGTTACGGAACTCTAGGGAGGCAAAATTGGTCCCTGCGTCGTGCTTGATAGTATCAGGGGGTCCGAGATATGTGTCTATCCAGAGGGCTCGGAGGGCTTCCCACGTATCCTTTGCTGACATCGATAGGAGGAACCTGGCTGCTTGGAACGCTGTTGCTGTATCTACCACGTGCAAGACGGGGCGTTGAGGGGTTCCAAGGTAGAGCACATCAGCGACGATTTCGTAGTTGAATTCCTGGTCATCCTTTAGGGTGAATTTGAAGCGTCTTGGAGCTTGAGAGTGCATTTGACAGTGATGACAGAATCTCGAGATGTTCTCTAGGATATCTATCGTCACATCGTTGTGGCCAGCTTGCCGTAGGAGGTTGTGAAGTCTTGGGACCGCTGGGTGCCCGAATCGACGATGAAGAGTGCGGATCTCGCTCTCCGTGAGGAATGCGATAGCGGCCTCGTTGGTCTTAGGTAGGAGGAACCAAGGATGTCCCCATTTGCGGATAACCGGGAGGGTTGTTCGTCCGACAATAGTGTCTGTAAGGTTGTTGAAATAGATGCCTAGGCGATCCATATCAGCGAGAGAGAGGAGGAAGGAGTAGGGGTCTTGAGGATATGGAATGTGATCCTTCCGAGAGGTGTTTTAAGGGCGATAGAGCCGAGGGATAGAATGGCTTCGCCGTTGCCGAATTTGATAGAAGCTTGGCCTGCTGTAGTCTTATCGAGCGTTATAGCAGGGTCTGCTCGTTGTAGAGCGATGCATTGGTCGTAGCCAGCTGGAAACCTTCGCGGCGCCTGTGTCAATTATGATGCCCTGGAATCGGAGTCTTGAGTAGCGCTCCTCTATCATGAATTGGGAAGCAGGTGTAGCGTTGTTTTGAGAGGTGCTATACACGTCTTCCCTGTGATCAGATGGTTGAAGGCTTGCTGGCAGAGCATTTGGCTTGTGTGCCACTGTTCTGGGTTGTTGTCATTATCTTCATTGTCGTCCTCGTCCCAGGGTCGTTAGCATCATCGTGGGCATCCATCTCGTGACCTTCAAAGTCAAGAACGTAGGCTGTAAGGTCCTGGGAGGGTAATCCCTATGAAGTGACAGTGGGCGACGTATTGGTCTCGGGATCTTTGACGTTCCTCGGCAGTGTGCTTTGTAGACCAACATCCTTCCTTATTGCAGACGAAGCACTTCTTATTCCACGGGTGGTTGTGGCCGTAACGGCCTTGTGGGCGGTTAAAGCGTTGACTATTGAAGATTCCCGTGGAGCGTTGTAGCTGCCTCGTTGAGCGTTGCCTCTATACCTTCTATACCCCTTCTGACCAAATCTTCCGCGATTGTTGTTGTATCTTCGATCGAGATAGTAGTGGTCATTGGGATCCATATGATCAGATGGTTCCTCGAGGTCTTGATGGTATTGAGGGCCTCCTTGAAGATAACGAGGCGCTATTCCGCGTGCAAGATGGGTCTCAACGGAAGAGCGAAGATCTGCAAAAGGGCTCGATTCCTTCGGCGGGCTTGAATAAAGCGTATTCAAGTTCAGGAACACCGCGGCATGCATTAATAAGCGTTGTACGCAGTGGAACGTTTCCTGCATACGCGTTGCCAAGAGCTCGTTGGCATAACTGTAGCTTATCAAGGAGTAGCTGAAGAACCTCGTGTAGGGATTTCGTAGCATTATCGGCACGGAGCTTGTTAAAGGAAATAGTCGTCCATTCAGTATAGTAGTGAACGTGGTTAACTTCCGTATCGAAATGTTGCTTGATGCTATCGTATGCCTTGCGGAACGTTGAGGTCCAGTTAATGTGGTCAATGTAGTACGTTTGGGCTCGGCCAGTAAGGATTCGAGGGAAAAGAGCGTGGAATTGGTCCGGCTTGACCTGAATGTTATAACAGATACTCATAAAGATGCGTAGCTTATCATCGAGAAGGTCATAGGTTCCCCGCATAGTTCTTCTCTTTGTCCCAGATCTTGGTGAATTTCTGTTGTGTGTCGGCATCGACGATGCCGTTCGGGATGTCGGGGGAAGCGTTGTGTACGCTTCGAGGATGTGGGAGAAGAGGGTTCTGCTAGAACGATGCTCTGTTGCTGGAACTGATAGCTTGTAGGATGTATTGTTCGTTGGGGAAGCGTAGCAGTCGTTGTGGGCGGTTCCGCAATTGTCGTAGCGGGAGGAGCAGGGAGCGTCGGAATAGGGGCTAACGGCGTGGATGGCTCCGCCGTGTTGGAGGTGGGAGGGTTCTGCGTTAGTCGTCTCTCTTTTCTTGTATAGGCCTCCGTTCCTTTATCGAATTGGGTTACCATGAATTCGTTGTCGGGCCAGGCTGGTGGGTTATCGATCGTCTGTAGGAAGACGAGCTGTGGGATGATGTGGTCACCCTTTTCTCCTGTATAGATACCACGTCTCTTTAAAAGGTAACGTAGCTCCTTCGAAATTCCTTTGGCATCTTTCTCCACGTTGCCTCGGTCCACTGTTGGAAGTGATCCTGGAAGAATTCAAGGATATTAGTGCCATGAAGGTGTACGTTCTCTCGCATTCTGACATAAATCGTGCGGTATATGTCATAACAGCTATTCTATCTTCCTCTTGTGGCGTGATCTCATCCTCCCATCGGGTCGGATCGATATCCTGATATTGGGTCTTTGGGATCGTGAGATTTGGACCAATTCCTTACTTGGTCGAGGAAGGCGTCGTTCCTCGTAGAGGCGGGGTTCGGGGTTGGGGTCGTGCTTGTCATCGTGAGGGTTGTCACGTAGTTGTCGAATCGTGAGGGCTGTCACGTAGTTGTCGAATCGGCGTTGTGGACGCACTTACACTTAATGTAACCGTTAAGTGAAGTTGGAAGGATCTATCAATGGCCTACCGGGAGCTAGTTGGTTGCCGGGTCCGGGTAATCGTAGAGTCCTTGATCTTAGCATAGAAACCTCCTCTAGGTCCAACCAGGCAATATCGCTAGGAATATGGTAGTTGGGCTTTCGAAGGTTGCGTTCTATCTCTTCTTCCTTGCCAATCTGTGATCGACCAAATCGATCACTGATCAGTGTCGGGAGGTCTGTACTGCAGTAACGCAATGGGTTGTATTCAAGATGTCTTGCTAGGAAAGGAAAGGGAATGAGGGGGCACACTACGTGCCCTTTATACACGGATCCCCGAGGTCCATACACGTGACGCTAAGGGTCACGTGTGCGTGTGTGCGCACCTCCCTTACAATCCTACTATAGCTATATGCTACATTCCCACACTAAGGGAAATCTCTATAAAATATCTATATAATCCGCTTAGTTATTATTTCTAGGATTTCTAGGTAATTTCCTAGAGTTTACTTAGTAGCTTTTAAGTTCCTTCTTTTATAGGGAGCTTTAAGGAGTTAAGGGTAACTTCCCTAAAGGAGGCTAATATTATTATAAGAACCTAGATTATTAACTATAGGGTATCTTATAATACTTACTATAACTACTACCTTTATAAGAATTAAATAACTTTGCCTTACCTATTTAACCCTTTACTTTTACTTTTACCTTTATATTTTTAATATATACTTCTTATATCTCTCTTTATAAGAATATTAATACTATATAAGGTAGCTGTTTTCTCTTTAATAAGAATAAATAAGTCTATATAAAACTAAGTTTTATTTTTTATAAAGGAACCTTTTTCTCTTTTTTTCTTTAGCTTAAAACCTTACTTTATTATAAGAAAATTCTTTTTATTTTCCCCTTTAAAAGGCTTTTATCTCTTATTTCTCTAGACTTTACTTAGCTAGTTTAGTAATAGTAAACTAAGGATTATTTAGATATTTATTACTTATTATCTAAGCACCCTTTTTATAGTCTTAGATAAATAGTTCTTATTTTTAAGATCTTATTATTATATTATATAAATATAAATAATCCTCTCTAAGGATATATTTTTATTATAAAGCGTAGCTTAATTTTATAGTTCTTAGAGATATCCCTTAGTATAAGGGACTAAGGAAGCTAAAAACACTTAGTATAAAAGAAGGAAGAAGGAAGAAGGAGCTAAAAAGAAGTATAAAAAGGAGGGTAGGAGTATAAGGGGAAGTATAAGTAGCGAGAGATAAGACGGATATACTAGTAACGGCTAAAAAGGGGGGGAAAACCTAGTAAAAAGCTCGGTAGTTAAAAGGATATTAGTAGCTTCTTTAAGTAGGATCTTCTTTATTAATTAAGGTGCTAGATAGGTATAAAAAGGGGCGTTAGATAGAGGAAAGAAGGAGAATTAAGGCAATATAATAATTACTCCCTTACCTTTATTACTACTCCTATAAGAATTAAATCTCTTTACCTTACCTATCTAACCCCTTACTTTTAATTTTACCTTTATATATTTTATATATACTTCTTATATCTCTTTATATAAGAGTTATAAGCCTAGGAGGAATAGTATTCCTATACCTTCTAGCTACTATAAAAGGCACCTTTCTTATATCCTTTATAGCTTCCTTTTACCCCTTTTATTAAAAAAGCAGATTTTTACTTAACTTTTCTACCCTTCCTTATAATAATAATAAAAACCGACTCCTTTACTATCCTTACGGTCTATAAGACGATTCTTATAGAGCCCTAAGATTAGGATAAGTAGGTAAAGGAGCTATAGGCTTATATAAATAGAACTATTTATAATTTAGTCTTTTCTAATAAATAGGACCCTCTTAAGCCCCTTCTTTATCCTAGGGCAACGGACTTTATAAAGGGAGCTACCCTCTTCTCTAAGCTAACCTCTATATAGTAGAGAGCTTTTTCTACTACCTTAGGCGACTATAAGAGTTACCGAAAAGAGTACCTCTATAAGATAAAGCTACTAACTACTATATATATAGTAATAATAAAATCCGTTAGTACTATAAAGCTAATCTCTCTTTAAGAGGAAGAGACTCCTAGGTAGTAGCTTTTAAAGCTCGAGACCTTAATAGCTCCCTTAAGGGGCTATATAACTAACTATATTAGGAAGACCTATATAGCCTACCTAAGAGCTTTTTCTACTAGGAACTTACTAGCTTCTTATAACGACCGGTATTATTCCTAAGGGATAAACCTATTAAGGGGTTTATATTAGTAGATATAATAAGGCGTAGTCTAAGTAATAATAAGTATATTACGTTAGTAATAAGTCGGAGGTTATAGACTATAGACTATAACTAAGTAATTAAGTAATTAGAATTAAAGATAGGATCGTAATAAAGATTATAATAATTATAATATTAAAAGCTATTAAGCTATCTATTTAAAGGAGTATTCTATTCCTTCCTTATATATCTTAAGAGCTTCCTTAGATCGCCGAGAGCGTTAAGTAATCCTATCGTTTAGGAGCGCTAGAGCGCTAGAGCGATCCTACGATCTTAGCTATAGAGCGTTAAAGCGCTAGAGTAACCCGTCGCTCTAAACTTAATTAGCCCGTCGGTCTATTTAATATTCCTTGCTCCCTACGTTACGTAACCTTATAATATATATTAGTTCCTACGGTTCGCTAGACTATAGTCGTAATAGGATGCCTCCCCTCCTTTTAGTCTTATCCTTAAGACCTACTACTTTAGCCGCTATATATAAATATACCCTTATTATATTATACGTAAGTATATCGTTCTTTATTCTTTTATCCTTTTAGGATATACTACTAATAGTATATCTAGTTATATTTAAAAATCCTATTCTTATAATTCTAATAAATCGCGTTAATAATTAGAGCTAGTATCCTAGACCGAGATCTATAGTATTAAAATTATACCTTACTCCTATTATTTTCGGTTAAGCTTAACTTATAAAGTCGGCGAGCGTTTTAATCGGTATTCTAAATATACTTTTATAGGCCGTTCTTATAATAGTTATAATATAGCGTCTACTTATTCGTTTTATCCCTTTCCTTTCCTATCGTTCTTTTTACTAATATTCCTTTTTTTCTAGTTCGTTATATTATAAATTAATAGTAAAAGATTAATTCGGACGAACGAAAAGTAAAAGAAGCGTTAAAGGAAGCAATAGCTCGCCTAGCTTAAATTAGGAAATAAAAGCGTTTCCTAAAGGGCTAAGGTAGTAAGTTATTTTAGCGGGGTATATAAGCTATTAATAAAGAAGATAGTATAATACGTTCTTCTTAAAATAAATTAGTTTATTTATTAAATAAGGAAACTATTGCTATTAGCGAGGTTTAATTATTTAGTGCCTTAAATATATTAAACTAGGATACTATTCTTAGTAACCCTATATTTCTAATTAAGGGTTCGCTTAGTAGAACTATTAGAGTAAAGAGCTATAATAGGTTAAGTACTTAAGTAGTTCCTAAGTATTTTCCTTTAGCCTATATCCCTTCTACTTAATAAAGTATTCCTATTACTAACCTTATTTTCTTATATTTAGTATTTATT